TTGGCCCATTTAGGAAAGATGGCTCCATTGACCACACTATAAAGGAGTGGTCACTCTGGAGTCCACAGCCGGGAACAGAACTCTGCCTTCCTGGCACGCCCACCTTAGGGTCTGCGACAGGCTCTGGCTAACTCAGAGTAGGGGCACCCTCAGTGCCAAACAGGACTGGGTGGTGGGAGGTGGAGGTTGAGCAGCCGGGCTGGGAACCTGCTCTGTCTCACCTCTCCTCCTTTGCACCTAGATGGGACCCCAGGAAGTAAAATCCTGACAGCCAAGGGGTACTGACACTTCCTGCCCTGTGCTGGACACAGATCTTGCCTTAGGTGCTCTGGGGAGGGGACAGCGGGGTGCCCATAACTCTGGGTAGGGTGGTAGTCTCACTTCGGGGGTATAAGGGCTGGGGCTTGGTACCAGGGAGGAGGGGCAGGAAAGGGCGAAGACTAAGTTTGCCAAGTGGAACCCACAGGGCCTCCCACCCCTGAACAGCACTCTGGGGTCTGCAAACCAGGCTCTTGCTCTCCTGGGCACTCCATGAAGGCCGAGTGCCCCCCAGAGAAACGCAGGCAGCCTGGGCTGGTGCACACCCTGGCCAGAGCCCCTTCCTGGTTCCCGCACTGAGCTCCTCAACTGTTTGATCAGGTGCAGAGGCCAGCAAGACGCCCAGCCCTGAGCGGGTGGTACAGAGCCAGTGGCGGTGGGCAGGGTGAGAGTTGACAGAGCCATGTGTGTCCTTTTAGCTGTGGCATGGGGCTGGCATGATAAGAAGAGGCTTGGGGACAAGATGGGGCAGAGACAAAGTAAAAAGCGATGATGAGAGAGAGAGAGAGAGAGAGAGAGAGAGAGAGAGAGAGAGAGAGAGAGAGAGAGAGAGATTTGGTGCAATCCCAGAGCCCTGGGAGTTCTTTGCTACCCTTGTCACTGCCTGAGTGTGTGTCCTTGGGCCAGTACCATCTTCTCTGGCCCAGTTCCCTTATGTGTAAAACAAGGAGGATTCTGCTGTAAGCAGTAAAACCCCCTCCTCCTCTAGGGCCACAGAATCCTCTTCTGCAAGGACCCTTACCAACTGCAGCTGCTGCACTGGCAGAGGAAGGGGCAGATGGGTGCAGGTGGCCCAGTCATGTGGACGGGCACCCGGGATGACTCAAAAGTGGCACAGCATGAAGCTTTCCCTCCTCCATCCTTCCACCTCCTGCCTGCAGAGCACCCCAGGCCTCAGGCACTGATGTGAGGCTCCTCCAAAGCCCTGTAGTGTCCTGCAGTAGCTTCTCTAGGCTCCGCTTCTGCCAGCAGCAGGCAGCTGGCAACAGACAAGTTCAGAGGGAAATGAGCTGGGCTGGCTGTCAGGAGGGTAACTCGGTCTCCAGAGGGAGCCCAGGAGGCAGCAGCGCTGCAGCTTCCTCTGCAGAAGGACCTTGCACCAGAAACCCTATTTGCACCTTCACCCCACAGGTCTAAGGAGAGGCAAAGGTCCTCTGCTCATTTGCCAGGGCGTCCTCCTCTCTTGCAGCTGTTTTCCAACCTTGTTTAGCTAAGAATTCTTTCTTTAGATGCAGTCTGAAGTGGAAGTTAGAGCACCATATTATTCAGTAAGTATTTCTTGAAACAGGCATCTATCAAGTGCAGCACTGTGAATTGGGTACCCAGTGGTGGCCCAGACAAACTTGGCTCTGCTCCATGGAACTGAGTTAGCAGGTCAACAGCCAACAAATAAAGATTTAATGAACTGCTGTGAGGAGTGCAATAGGAAAGGCCCACAGATTGCACGGTCCAGAAGGACTTCTGGGTAAGGCAGGAATGCCCCTGCCTCTTGATGGGACCTGACAGTGTCAAAGCTGGGACAGGGACATGTTAGCTAACAACACTCTGGAGGAACGGGCATTCTGCACAGGCAGATGGGACAGTGAATCTTCTTCCTCATGGCAAGTGCTGATGCTCCCTGCGATACAAGCAGAGGCCACAGCTTCTGCTGACCTCCAAAAGCTTCTCTGAAATCCAGCTGTTATTTCACAACAAATAGCAAATACAGAGGTTTACACACAACCTAAATTCATCAGACATCTGGGGGCTGCTCAGCCTGGGAAAGGGTCATCAACATGCTCAATGAAAAGAACTTACCACCAAGGAAACCGAGCTAATAGTCTAATCACAAAAGAAACTGAAAATCTTTATCTTTACTGTTTTGGAGGAATAAGGGAGGTATCTCTGTATCGAATTCTCAAGGACAGTTGTGAATTAAAACCTAGTAATTATGAAAAGAACCTGTTAGAGATCTTAGTGATGAAAAAAAAATAATTACTCAAGGAGTCATCCTGGCTATAGGATGGAGAATGAACTGCATATAGTCCAGGAAAGAGAGCTGTGGCTTTGCCGAGGGTGGAGGCCAAGGAAAGGCAGGGAAGTAGACAAATTGCCAATATATTCTGAATGCTGTATCTTAGGCCTTGCTAAGGGTCTTGAACCTGGGCACACACAAGGCTGGATGCCTGCACCCTATGCAGATAGCGAAGCCCTTTTGTCATTGTGTGCATCAAAGTGAGGTGAGCCTGGCTGGTGCACCCCTCTTCGATAGTGTCTTGGAGGCTTTGTTTTTTCCCTGTCCCTGACCGACATTTCCACAGGGGGCTGGGAAACCAGAGAAGATCCCAAATCTAACACAGAAGGAGCCCCTCTGTGTTCAGCCCAGCTGCCTGCAGAAAGAGTTGTGGCTGTTGAGGGAGGAAAACATGATGAGGTCTACGGTGCTCTCAACAGCAGCTTCTGAGATGGATTTTTGGAGTGGAGAAAGAGGAGTTAACTGTATGGGGAGGGGAGAGTTTGGCAGAGAGAGAAACTGAATCCTGGCTCAGGACCCTCTTGATTAGCCCCATGGGGATGGGCTTGGGAGCTCAGGAACCCTCAGGGTGCTTCCATGTTGAGCTGAGATGATTGTACCCTCCTGCCTGCAGGTCAATCAGTCATCAAACCCGGGATCCCCCCCCCCCAAATGAATGGCACTGGTAGGGGACCTCTCTGTAGCCCATGCCAACGCTGGGTACTGGCAGCCCTTCCCGCTGCCAGGACAGCAAGTCCTTACTGATGGCTAGCACCTCGTGGGGTTCACCACAGCGACTAAGACCACAGTCACTCCCAAGTGGCCTGAGATTCAGCCTGTTGCATGCTTCTTGTGCCTTGTATGTACCTATTCTGAGGTCACTCTTATGCTTGTCTCTCCAGTCTTTTGATGAGGTCAGAAGTACCCATGCCAGGCCACCACTTACCAAAACCAACTTCTCACTGGGGTGGAAGAGAAAGAAATGGCTTTCTACGTGATCCACATACAGATGAACAGCCTTACCTGTGACTGTGTAATCTCAGCAAGAATCTTAAGAAATTCATATTCTTCAACCCAAATTCCCTGAGTTCACAATATAAATATCCTGTTGAGAAAAGCAAGTCTCACCCAGTTGAAAGCTATGACTCCCTCTGCTGATTTAAATTCCATTTCCGCTGACCTGGCTGGCCACGGGCTGAGCCAGCCTCTTGGAACTCTTTGAAGCACTGGATGTGGGCTGATGAGCTCCTGAGGACACCTTTGAGTCCCTGTGCTGCTCAGGGACTCCACACAGTACCAAAGTCTGCCTGCATGATTTTTTGATGTGTGAATGTAATAACTAGGGTAGAGGCATGTAATACTGCACCCAAAGACCCCTCTCAGCTGCTTGGTTCAGTGGAGACTGGGGTCTTTGAAATTCTGACTCTTCTATATATTCCAGTCTGAGGGTTTTCCTGAGGTGATTCTGAGATGAGGATTCATGAGAAAGTGCTTTACTGGGCAGTGTCTCCTAAAGGGCAGTTAGGAAGCAGAATAGAAAGGAGAAGGAAGTGAAGACAGGGTGCAAAGTCAAGCAAAGCCCTACCTTAGCAGGGCGACTGGCCCATCCCACAGGGGAGTCCTGTGACCAGGATTCCTTCCGCTCATTAGCTGAGCGCTGTGTTTTGTGTAAGGTTTAGTTTTTCCTGGGAAGGTTTGGTTCTCATTGGTGCAATGCTGGGAGATAGGACCTCTGAGAGGCAGGGCTCGGTGGGAAGTTCTTAGGTCAGTAGGAGGGAGGTGTGCCGCAGAAGGGATTGGAGGATCCCAGGCTCTCTGGCTTCTCTATGCCAATGTGATCTCGCCCTCTCCCGTGTGTTCCTGCCATCTGCCATGAAGTCCTCACCAGAGCTCAGCCGTTACTGGTGCTATGCCCTTGCAGCTCCAGAACTTTCTTCACAAATACCAGCATCAGGCATATTTTTTATAGTAATAAACAAACTACAAGGGCTATCTCAGTGGGTTTCACTTTTCCATGTACTTACTACTGTCTGCATACAAGGCAAAGCAGCTTCCAAAAACAGGGAGGTGGCCCTGCACCAAAGAGACATGAGACCTGGATACTAGTAATAAAAGTGAACCCGGAGCCAAGGGCCGGAAGATAGGAAAGCGACCCAAGGAACTAAAACAGAATATCTGCTATGAGTAACTTCAGTTTCTGAGCCAGCCCTGCTGTGTCCAGCTGTGCTGAGAATGTGAAAAAAACAGAAGTCATCAGAGTTCACTATGCTCATTAGAGGTCATCTTGGTTACTTTTCTCTCATTGCTGGGACAAAATACCCAACACCCAAAATGAAGAAAGGAAAGGCTTGTTTAGCACACAGTTTGTGGAGGTTTCAGTCCATAATCAGCTGGCTTCAAGGCAGGATGGCAGGGCACCAGGGCAGCACTTCAAGGCAGCAGCTGGCAAAAGCAGCCAGACCAAAAGAGGGAAGAACAAGCATCTTCTCCTCCCTTATATGGTACATAGCCCCCACCCCCCTTACAAGGCAGGTGTAGCACTCACACCATCACCCTGCCCTCCTCTTCCTCAGGATGTTTACAAAGTAAGAACCCTGGCTCCCTGCTGAGTCTCTTAGTGAGCTTCCAAACTGCTCAAGTTGACACAGTGTATCAACCATAACAGAGGTGGATACTGTCTGTTCCCGAAACACCTCAAACCTATATGTAAAGTTTGTATCTCCCAGAAATGATTTCCTGGAATTATGACAGTGAGCATTGTTAAAGGCCATATTTCATTTAGAAAAATGACTGCCTTTGCAATACATAATATTAATTATAACAGCAAAAAAAAAAATAATCCTGTGGTGAAGACTAGCATAATTCACTCACCACATTTCTACCTGAGCACATGGCAAAGTTGTCTATTCCAGCCCCCTAGGATCTATCTAGGCTGTTTTAGTTCTTAACAAAGAACTGCTTCCAAGTCATGTTAAGGCAGCCCTAACTTCTCTTCAGAAATCTTAAAGACCATCTGTTGAAGACAAAGGCACCACAAAACAAAAGGTAGCATCCCTGAGTCCTTTGGTCATGAAGAGAACCACCTGATTGAAGTCATCTACACTAGACTATGTTAATGAAAAATAAATATTACTAATTCACTGAAATTTTAAAGTAAGCAGTTAATTTGTTCTAATATAATAAAAATTAATAACTGTAGCAGCAAGAATTTATTAAGTAGTGTCTTAGTTTCTTGGTGACATCCCCAACTTTAAGGAGGATATGTTCAATTTCGTTCAGTTTTGAGAGATTTCAGTCCATGATTATCTGGCTCCAAGGCAGAAATGTCATGACAGAGGAGCTTGGTGGCAAAAAAAGCTGCTTTGGTCAAGATGATCAGGAAACAGAGAGCAAGAGAGGAGGAGGAGAGAAAATATACCTTTCTGGGTCACATCCCTAGTGACCGGACGCTAACCAGACTCCTGTGTTCCAACAGCAAGTCAGCTATGAACTCATCAGTAGACTAAACCGCTAATGAGAATGCAGCACATGATCCAATCAACTTCTAAACACATGAGAACTTGGGGGAACATCCTAGGTCTAAGCCGTAATATTCTTCCCTGGGGTCCCAAAAAGATTTGTGTCCATCTCTTTATGCAAAATGTATTGACTCCATCTCTAAGAGTTGCCAGAGTTTTCACAGTTCCAGCATTAGTAAAAAGTCCAAGTCCAAAGTCTCTTGGGAGATGCAAGGTGGGTTCTTAGCTGGGAGCCCCTGTAAAAATAAAAAAGGAAATTAAACACTACTGGCACACAATGGTACAGGGCAAACATTCCCATACTAAAAGAGAGGACATGGGGGATAGAAAAGCATGAAACCAAAGCAAGACCCAAACCCCACAGCGCAAACATTAATTAATGAAATTCTGTGTGGTGCAAGCTGGGCTGAGATGTGGCTTCACTCTCAAAGCTTCATGCACTTCCTTGTCAGGAGAACACTGTCTGCTTTCCTGGGTTTCTTCTGAAATTTTGGTGGAAGCTTTCTTGATACTACAACATTGCATTCTGTGTGTGCATGAAACCAGCTCTACGGGGATGATGCCAAGGTCTGTCAACAGTTTGAGCAGTAGCTGGGCCCCTGTAGATCATGGCAGCAGGAACCCAAGAGGCTAGACAGCTGGGCACTGTGAATAAAATTCTTAAGTGGATTCAATCAGTTCCCTAGGTGGCCCTTCTTGAGCAGGGTGCCCTGCACTCTGTTTTCAAAGCAATGTGTTTAAAAGGACTTTAAATTTACCCTTTCCCATAATTAAGCCAGTAAAACATGAAGTCTTGCTGAATCCTGAGATGCCTTCGGGCCATCTTTTTTTGGGGGGGAGGGGTTTATTATTCCCACAGTTCTTATTACTTTTTTTTGAAGAAAGTAAAACCAAATGTGACATACCAGGACAGAGTCAGTCAAATCAAAAGGATGGACTTAATACATAATGTAAAAACAAAATACAAGGTGATCAACAATGGTTACCATAATGCTTCTTGTTATCTTAAAAAGAATTGCCTATATCATCAGTTATAATAAAATTGAACAAAACAGTAAAGAATAAGACCAATAAAACCAAAACATTGGAGACATTAGAGGGCTTCAAAAGAAGATAATAGTCAACCAGAATGGGTGTCACAATGAATCTTATTGTCTTCATAGTTGTTGCCTATACTTTCAAACTTCGTACTATCAAGCATAACAGAATAGAGGAAAATCAGTCAAAACAAGATGGTGAGAGCAATACAGAGTTTCAAATCAAGTTAATAGGAAATCAAAGTGGGTTACTATAATATAACCTGCTATTTTTTATTTATTTTTCCCTTAATTAAAAGGATAAAAATGAAAGAGTAGATAATAAAAAGGACATTGAGATAAAAAAAAGAGGGCATAACAACAAAACAGCACAGGTCAAAACATAGCCATTTAAGCAAAATAGTGTTTTACCACAAGATAATCTCGACATAATAGTAGTTACCATAGTGTCTCTTCCCTTAAAATCTTTGGGTATAACTTCGTATACTGTAGCATCAAACATATCAAGACAATGTAAAACTGTTCAAGAGAATGACAGGATTACAGGGTATTTAGAATCAACTAACAGAAAATGAACAATGGTTTCTGTGTAATCTCCTTGTCTATAAAAGTTTTTGTTTATATTACCACATATAATAAAATCCAATAAGATATAACACGTTAAAGCTGATGGAGACAGAAGAACAAAAGCTTGATGGGACTTCAAAACAAGAGGATATTAAATCAGCATTACCTATTATGATGTCTTGTTTTCTCCAAAATGGCTGTTCCTACCATCCAACCTTCTCTGCCTCATTTCTGTTGAGCTCTTTTTCTGTCATTAGTTGTAAGTTTGTCCTCTTCATTTTGCTTTCTGCTCCATTCATTGTGGCCTCTCTGTCTCTGTTTCTGGAATCTTGGTATTTTTCATTTTTAGAATATCCTGCAGTAATCTCTGTAGAGTTGAATTGGTGGTTCCAAATTCCCCTAGTTCCTCTTTATCCTGGAAGCACCTTGTTTTTCCATCAATTTCTAGGGACAGTTGTGCAGGATATATCAATCTTGGCTGGAAATTATTATCTTTCAAAGCTTGAATTATTTCCCCCCACGCTCTTCGTGATTTGATGGTTTGTGCCGAGAAGTCTGCTGTAATTCTGATGGGTGTTCCCTTGTAAGTGATCTGTTTCTTGTCTTTGATGGCTTTTAATATTCTGTTCTTATATTGGATTTCTGGAATTTTGATTATTATATGCCTGGGTGTAGCTCTGTTTGGACTGTAGGTGGCTGGGGTGTTGTATGCCTCATACATCTGAGTATCTTTACCTTTTGCCAAATTAGGGAAATTCTCCTGGATTATTTCTGTGAATAGCTTTTGTAGTTCATTTGTTTGAGACTCTACTTCTTTTATGTTCTTAATTCTTAAGTTATAGATCCTCTTATCATCTTCTAGCCCTTGTATTATTGCTGTTTGTTTTCTTGTTATTTTTAAGAAGTTTTTCATTTCATGCTCCCACCTTACAAATCTGTCCTCCATTTCTGATAATCTATCCTTAGTTTCTTTCAAGCTGTTATGCCAGCTTTCAATAGAGTTTTTAGTTTCCTGGTAATCTCTGTGAACCTGCTTCATGTATTCTATGTTTTCTCTATTTTCTCCATCAAACAATTCTCTCCTTTTTTTCTGTTCTTCCATTCCACCATCTGTTTTTTCTTGGGCGGTGCTTAGCATTTCTCTAACTATTCTACTTATTTCTTGCTTTATTTCATTAAATACTTCACTTTTGAACTCGTCTATGAGGCTCTGGAGATACCGCTTTATGTCTATAGGTGCCGTGTCTGATATTGCATTGTTTTCTGTCTTCATTCTCTTTTGCATTTACCTTTCCTGGATCAGTGTTCTCAAGATTGGGGACTGAGGACCCTTTCTTGTTGCTGCCTTTTCCCATACTTTTTGTTCCTTCCATACAAGCGTATGTAGGAGGCCCAGTTTTTTTTTTTTTTTTTCTCTTTGTCTGTTACAGTTTGTTTGAATCTGCCAGCTAGGTGTTCCCACCCACTGCAGTGTACTAGGGAGACACAGACCTGGGCAGCCTCTGCTGGGCCCGCCCCTCCAGGTCAGTTAGCCTACTGAATGCTTCACTGCTAGGGTGCACCGCCAGGCACAGGGACCTGATTTGGGCTAGCCTACTGGATCTTAGTCCGTGGCGTCACCAGGCCAAGCGCTCCCCACCACTCCCGCTTGAGAGGGGAATATGTGACTAAAGTCACTGCAGGGTCCTGTTCCAGCTAGTCTGCTCATTCCCAGAATGTCCTCTGTTGGAGCCTCCTAGTCTATGAAAGGGTTCCCATTTCTCTCACTCACCACAGGTCGATGCAGGGCTCCCTGCCAGTCCTGCTCTCAATGCTGTTTGGTTCGCCGATTCCAGCTCTCAGAGCTTTCGCACGTCTCTCTCCCTGCCGTGCGGATTGGGTTGCAGTATCAGCAGCAGGAAATTCAAATCGTGGTTTCCAATGGTGCAGGATCCAGCTTCCGCACTGAGATTTTATCTGTTCCTGTTATAGCATCAGGATTGCATTTCCAGTTGGTTTCTCTCAACTTAGTTCGTTCCTGGGTCGGCAGGGTACATCTCCCCTCGCGTAGGACTCCTCACACGGCACCGCTCCTGGATTCTAAGCTGGTAATCTCAGAGAGCCTCCGTGGCTGCTGTTATTTGTTCACCATGTTCTCCGGAAGTCCGCGCCATCTTTTCTATTGGCTTCTTTTCAATGACAATTGTTTCAGAAACTATGGTCTCCTTTGCTCCAAATTTTCAGGCCCTTCCTTTCTGATGAAATGCCAAACTTTTTGAATGAGATTTTTTGCTCTTGATTTGTGACTGAAAGCAGCTGAAAGTTCCCATACCACAGCCTGAATATTGAGCTGTCTTGGAATTTCCTCTGCCAGATTAATTAGTACACTGCTCTTAATCTCAGCCCTCTGAAAATTCTCAGTATATGGGCAAAATGTAGACAAATACTCTAGCATAACATATATAACATATATAACATATATTGCCTCTGGTCCAACTGCCAATAGAGTCCTTGTTGCCAACTGAAAACTTCCAAGCTTGGCCTTTTACTGCATGCATTTCTATTAGCATCCTGGTTTTCTGAACTTCAACTATAATCTCCTATCGAGCTTGACGTGCAACATTCTTGGGCTTCTCTACCTGGCATCTCCAGACTTTACCAAACTCCTTCTGCAAACTAGTTACAAATGGTTCCTTTTTTATTTTTTATTTTAAAGAGAATAAAACCAAGAAAAATAAAACAATAAAGCCAATCAAAACAAATCCATGTAAGTTTCATAGAACTTCAAAACAATATGAAATCAACAATAGTTACCATAATGTCACTTGTTGTCTTCAAAATAGCTGCAGATACCTTCAGACATAGTAAAAATCAAACAATGCAGAACAGAGTGGAATCAATAAAAACAAAAGAGTGAATTCAATAAAGGACTTAAAAACAAGACAATAGTACATCCAAAATGGCAACCATAATATATTTTGCTATCCTTGAAATAATTACCTATGCCACTGGATACACCAAAATCAAACGAAACAAAACAGAATAAAACCCAATCCAACAAGACAATGAAAATGGTTCAGGTCTCCAAAACAAGATAATAGGAAATCAACAATGGCTATGGAGATTTCCCAGAGATACCACACTGTGTACCATTATTCTCTGAATAGATGATCAGACCACTGGTCCTAGACCTGCAAAGTCAGTGAAACACCAAACAGCACAGGCATCAGATTGCATTTCAGCTCAGTAGCTATCACTGCAGCCTGTGTTTCTCAGGATCAGCAGGTTGCTTACAAGTGTGTGTGAGAGGGAGTCTCTTCTTGTTTCCCAGCCTGCACACTAGAAGGGGTTTGGGTCTGGCTGTTTCCAAAGTGTCCTGTACATGGCTCTGATTCACAGGGAGGGCTTGCTTGTTGGTGGCTTCCCCCAAAACTTCTAAACCACAGGATTAAGTATAGTCATGAACAAAGACCTCACTTTTTATACCAAAATCTGTCTTACTTTTCTCATCACAGGGACAAATAGTTGACATAATTTAAAAGTATATATTTATATTGGTTTGCAGTTTTTAACAGCTACAGTCCATGGTCAGGCAGCTTCAAGGTAGAAATGGTATAGCAGAGAGGTTTGATGGACAAAACGTCCATCTCATGTTGGCCAGGAAGCAGAGAGCAAAGGGAGGAGCCAGAGAGGAAAATACATCCTTCCAGGTCACACAGGGACCTCTCTAACCAGAACCTGCTTTCGCAACAAGTCAGCTCTGAACTCATCTGTGAACTAATCCACTGATGAGTACAGAGTCCCCATGATCCAATCACCTTTGTAACCTATGAGGCTTTGGGGAACACTCACAATCTAACCCACAACAAGTATTCTATTATTATTCTGATTTTGTAGAGGAAATTGAGGTTTGAAATGCTTACAAAGCCAGAGGAGTTACAATTAAAGTTTACTTCTTAATCTCTATTCTGATTGGTCACATAAATCTTCTGTGAATTTGTTTGATGTTTCCATTGATATGATTGGTCACATAAATCTTGATCTTGTTGAGTAGGAAGGAGGGACCTAGAGGGGATGGCTCCACACATCAGAAGCCATCTTCCAGGTACTCCACGGTTTGGTTAATGGCTTCCCCCTCTGCTCAGATGTAGTCTGCTCCCCAATCATTGCTTCTTCATTACATTTTGCTCATTTGTCTGCTATGACTGTATTGGCTACTCACTGACAAAGAGAAGAAATGAGATGATCAAAGGAGAAATCTCCAAATCCCCAAAGCTGTGGCCCTCAAATCTAACCAGAGAAAGCAGAGAGCGCTTGTTTAGCATGTCATGCTGGTTACTTTTCCATCTCATCCATCCGTCTCCTTGCAGATAGAGCTCTAATTTATCCTTGTCCAAGTTACTATGTCCTTCAGGGAAAGCTACACTGCTCTCCTACCCAGGAGTGAGGATTCATGCATAAGTAAAATGATATGGGAGGATTGCTCCTGTAAATGTTAACTAGAAGTATGGGGGTGGCATGCAGTTCAGGTTGATGGAACTAAACAATACACAAGTGAATTTTCTACGAAGATTGTTCTTCCTCAAAACAGACAATCAAACCAGGATAAAACTTCCCATGAGCCAGCAGTGGCCATGGTCTAGGAGAAGAATGGAGAAGTCAGCCTGCCCTTCCCATGAGCCAGCCAGCATGCAAGCTGCGAGACAAGAGGAACTGCCCACCGCCCCTTACCCCCGGCCCTCAGTGTAGACAACCAGCTGATTCAGAGGAACACAAGCTGGGATGGTAGCACCTAAGGTACAAAAACAATTTAATGCATATATTGACTATTGTTTTTGCAGGCCTAGGGTAGGTATCTGAGCATCTGTTTGAAGTATAACAATATGCATTATAGCAACTATGGGGGGTTTCCTTCTGTCTTGTTTTTGAAATTCAATATTGTTCCCACTGTTTTGTTTTGTTCCATTTTATTGTTTCTTTTATTCCCTTCAAAATAAAATTTTTTTTAAAAATAGGATGTTTGCTCTTCTGCATTTGGACTTAGGGTCTATGTGTTGTTCTTGAAACTAAGTTAAGACATTTGGGTTCACTAGGAGAGCAGTCTAGAAAGATAATCAAAATATTTATGATGGCAGAGTAGAAAGATGACAATAACCTGGATCTTTGAGACATTAATAATCAATCCTGGAACTGTCATTCCACTGGACTTTCTAGTATGTGAGATAGTAAGCTGATTGTCCGGATCATGATGAAGGAAGTTTTCTATTACTTGCAGCCAGATGCAGACTGTTGTAATTAGGGGTTGTGCAGAGAACAATTAGAATCAGGACACAGAATTTTTAATATTATTTTTTGATGATCACCCAGAGTTAAACACAGAAAGTGCAGGAAATCTGTCCATAACACTAAGGACTCAGAATATTCAGCCAACAGCCTGGATCCCACAGTAATGTCCTGTATGAGTCCAGATGAAAAACTAGAGCCCATGACAATGCCTCCCACAAGTCCAGCTGGAGGTGTAAGGCCCACAAGAAGGACTCACGCCAGTCTGTTTTATGGATCTGTACTGGGAAGGCCCAAAGGTCAGCAGTGGAAGCTAGGAAGTCCATGCCAGCAGAGTGAAGGAGCTGTGCTGGTAGGTGGATAGTTCTACGCTGGAGCCAAGAAGTCATGCTCAAAATAAGAACCAGGGCTGCCCTGAAAAGTACCACTGCCATCCTCAGAGATACGGAGGTCCCAAGCTTCTCCAACAATAAGAACAGTCAAGTGCATGCCAGAAAGCCAGCATGACGAGTTTGTGCCAGAGATTAAACGGCACACATCTTCCCCTCCAGAGCCAGGAAGCGATGCTTGATATAAGGACCAGAAATCCCCCAAAGTGATGTACAGCCACTCTCAACAACAAGGTCCTGAGCTTCTCCAATGACAATGGTCAGACTCACACTGGGGAAGCTAGTCATGATGAGCCCCTCCAGGAGCACCAATGGTTCAAAGCAGCAACACTTAGAGAAACCCACAGTGCCTCACTCCACGTCTCATTATGCTGGCAAGTTTCCTCAGGTGGAACATCTACGCTCAGCACCATGCTGATTTAATTCAGCTGGTATTAAGTTGACCACCAGTTTTTAATCCATAACACAGACCAACGGATAGTTCATCACACGCTCCTCAAGAAGAGCACAGAAAGAGTTTCTAATTCCTAAGAGTGATTACACGGTGGCTCCCAGCTTTTTAGGTAGACTCTTGGCTTCCACCTCCCACTCTCTCCCACCTCGCTTATGACCCCACGCCTCTGAGCCTTCTGTCTATTAGAGGAACCTCCAGTGTACTCTCGTGTGACAAATCCTCAGGTTTATCCCTACCTCTCTTTGTCCATCTGCTCATTCCTATGAGCGCGGCAGAGCAAGGTGTTGAGAACCATGAACTCGACAGTATCTTCTTTGTAAAGACGGCAGCCGTTTTCTTGGGTTTCTATAGGTGAGAAATGGAGAAGAAAAGAAGTTCATTGCACTGACATTAATTAATTCACACAAGGTCGCATTTTACAGCCTCTTAATTAACTTGCATCGAGCTCATGTTTCAAATGGAAAAAAACAAAATGTTCATTCATGTAAGTCATGAGGCCAGGAGGCCATAGGTATACAGGAGAGAAAATCGGAAATCGTGTCCTTGTGCTCTGATGCATGATGGCATTTTGTAAATCCTAACTTTACTCAAACATATCCCCTTGGCAGAGGATAGAAAGAAATAGACTTGAAGTCACTAACCTTGAGGACTTGTCACTCCTGCCTGTCCCTCTCCTCAGCCACCAGCCGGGCCCCCCTTTTCTGTCAACACTCTGTAATCCGCTGGCCCACAGACATTATATTATCTTGAAATCAACTATTTACTTTTTATTTCCCCCACAACATTGTGAACTTCCCAAGGGAAAAACAGTCTGTTTTGTTTATCTTCTAGCATGATATCTAGCATGCAGTGGGAACTCTGTAAAAATAAATAAATGAAAGCCAAGAAAAACTTTCCTGGGTGTCACCCTGCCTTCACTGAAGAAAGTCTGCGTTGCTGTAGTAACTGTGAAGGATGAAAATCAAAGGCAAATGGTTTTCCACAGTAGCGGAAGAGTCTGTCTTTGTGGGCCTCAGTGGTGGCTGGACCGTGCTCTGAAGTGCGGCTCAGGATGAGTCCTTGCTTCACCCCTGGCCAGAGTCAGGATACACACCTGGGGGCACACCTGTGCTCATCTGGGTGGCTGCCAGAGATACTTTGATTTCACACCTGGGTCTTTTCAGTCCCCAGTGAAGAGAAAGCATTTCCTTGGCTGAGTTTACACTGATTCTGCAGACTCGTGCTCGTCCAGCTAAGTCCTAAGTCTCCTGGCTCTTGATGTCATTTCCCTATCAGCTCTTTTCAGACGACAGCTTGGCTCTGCCCGACTATGGAACGAGTCCGAGGGCAGCACAGGGCCCCCTCTCTCCCCTTTCCTCATTCACGACTTCCCTCACGGTCCACCAGGCATTTTACTCCTCAGCCCCCTGCTCCTCCCCTCCTGTGAAATCAGCCTGAAATGAACCACGGAAAAGAGCAGGGATCTCCTCGTTTTGTTGAGAGGAGTCTTTGTATCTGGGAAAGCTGGTGGCTGAATCGCTCTGTGCTCAGGTTTATTTGTCATATTTGTAGGTACTCAATGGCTGGCTTGTAAGCAAACCCAGGAGTCAGAGTTCTAAATGTAGACACAGGCATTATTCATACTACAAAAGGGCCTCTCGCTTTCAGAGAAATTGTCCTGCTAGGACTCCTGTAAATTAACAAGAATAAGAGAGATATAATCAAGTAGAAAAAATGGACAAAATCTTTGAACATGTATTTCTTTTAAAAGGTTATCTAACTGGCTGTTAAATTTTTAATGTACTCAATTTCATTAGTCATCAAGAAAATGCAAGTTAAAACTGTAACTTGCAGTAATAGAATCCCATCAGAATTGTAACTTTAAAAATACAGAAAATAGTAAATGTTGACAAGGGTGTGGAGCAACTGGAACTCCTTTATTACCAATGAGGACTCCAGCCCAGAGAGATTAAGTGACTTGCCCAAGGTCACGCAGCTGAGCAAGTGGAAGAGGTATCAGAGAAGCCAGGCTTCCTAGTCTCTCTCTCTCTCTCTCTCTCTCTCTCTCTCTCTCTCTCTCTCTCTCTCTCACACACACACACACACACTGACACACCATTCCATTCTGGCAGGACTTCCTTCCCCTCTAACTGTGGGAGCGCAGACCCTGGCTAGGCGGAGCCCTCGGTGACAAGTGCCCCAGCCCACACCTTTGCATGGCTCCCCAGCTGTCCACACCTGCAGGTGCTGCCAGACTTCTCCATGAGTCCTAAAGAGACCACAGGTCTCCCTGCCTTCCTTACTTCAGAGTTTCAGTGCAAGCTTGCCCTGCAATCTCACTCCCAATTTGCGAATGAGAGGCTGGGGCTTGGAGAGGTTGAGTCACACGAGACGGCCACACAGCTTGTAAGACAGCTGTTTTTGCCACTGAGTCATGTGGCTCAGATTACATCATTCTCTTCCTCTATGCTTTTTTGAGAACTCCTGAGTTGGTCTTCCTGGGTCTGATTCAACCAGGTTCTTGGGTTGGGTTCTATACAAGTGTGAGCTCAGAGACAGGTATGCTTGGGGTGCTCCATTCACCCACAACTCAGGTAGAGCAAGGCCCACAGGACACAGAACGTCACCACAGGCTGGACACGGGCTCTGGAAGCCATGCACTCAAGGGGCATCTTCCCACTGCAGCAGGGGGCACCCTGCAGAGCCCACAGCTGTTCATGGGGGTTGGGCAGAGCCTCCTGGGACCCCTGGCTGCTGTCTCATCTTTCCTTTGGTTCAGAAAAAATCAAAACCCACTTGAGAAAACCCAAAGGCACACAGCTGTAATCGCAGCCATGGGGAGACCAAGATAGAAGGATCATTACAAGTTCTAGGCCAGCCATATGGTGAGACCTGTCTCAAAAAACAGCGAAAAAGAAAATCCAAAGTCATTTTTCTCTCTTGAGTCCCTAGGGTGGGCAGGGTCTTGAAGAACTGAGTGTTGCAGTGAGACATTGTGTGCGACCCATTGTGGGCTCAGCATTGGTAAAGGAGCTGTTGATTTCCATGATCTGAGGTATCCTGGGCAGCCCAGTGCAGCTGGAGAACCACACAGAGGGCAAAGCCATGCTAGAATCTCCTGGTCTCTGTTGATGACCCAGTGCAGGGCCCCGTGGTTAGCACAGGAGAGCAAGCCACGTTAGGGGAACCAGGCTCCTGGGCTACGTGGAGTGCGACCTTGGAAATGAGATGTTGCTCAGCCTCCCTGAGCCTCCGTCACTTCTGTACTTTGGAGGCAATTGTGTCACCTCTGCAGGATCAGGGACAATTCCATGGCAAATCTCCCAGGAGCTTGGAAATTTTAGTATCTTCACGACAGATTCTGCTACTGTCGGCAACAGGCATTTATTGAGCACTGACTGTCGGCCAAGCTGTCTGGAATATTTTACATTAATTGTTACATTTAGTCCTTTTAAGAATCCAGCAAGCTATATTACTGTCACTATGCCCAATTTACAGAAACTCCATGTAAGTGACCCAAATAATGCACAGAGGGACACAGGCATCACTGTAGGAGAAGCCAGGGGCTTCCCGGCCTCTTCAGGCCCTTGCTCGGTCAGTGGCTGCTATTGGGGTTGAACAGGTATAGTTTCAAAGTTGAGGATGGGCACCATCTTTCACCTTCAGATTGGAGAAACTGAGGAATTCAGCAGTTAGGTGAGACACACAGCTAAGGAATGGCAGAGGGAGGCGGGAGCATGTGTAAGCGCCTGCTGTATGCAGCACTGCGCTCATTATAACACCCAGAGAGCTTCAGGTTGGGCAGACTTGAGAATTCACCCATCAGCTTCCCACCTGGGCCCTGTCCAGGGCTTCTTACGTCATCTTGATTTCCTAGACAAAGGAACTGACCCCAAGCAGTAATTAGACTCTGAAGGCTGGGGGCAGAAAGGAGCTAGATGCAGTCAAGGGGCACTTCTCAGGCTCTAGCCGCTGCAGGACGCTGGCAGCGTGTAGGCGTGTGACTCCTCCTCCCCTCCCCGGCCTCAGTGCAGGTCTGGTGAACACCGATCCTTTTACGGAAATGCACAGGACTCCTGAGAAGGTCAGGAGTGATGGTGCCTCGAAGGATCCCAGGGAACAAACAAGACTGTAAAGGAGACAGAGGCCACCTGCAGGGAGCTGGCTCTCTGGCCTCAAGGAGCCCTGGGGTGACCCATCTCATTACCACCAAAACCGGACTCTGAGCTTTCTACTCATTTCCAGTATCAGCAGAACAGATGTGTAAGTGTGAGCTCCACCAGGGGAGTGTGCATTGATTTACCAATTCCATAAATGTGCTGTAGAGCTAATTAAAGCATCCCAAAGCAGACACAAACGTCTATATTTTAAGGGCATAAGATGGGACCCTGTCTTGCCTCATTTCCTGTTGCTATAACCAAATACCCAGGACTGTGTAATTTGTAAAGCATAGAAGCTGCTTTGACTCGTGGTTCTGCAGGCCAGAAAGTCCCAGCTGATGGTGCCCATATCTCCATGGTACTGGGGAGGGCTTTCTTGCTGCTCTGTGACATGGCACTGGGCATCCCCTCTGAGAGGGAATAAGCTGCTAGCTCAGGTCTCTCATCTTATAAAGCCAAGAATGCCATATGGTCCCATGTGACCTTCATTGTCTTCCCAAGGCCCCACCTCCAAACCCCATCCAGACCTGCAGATGACACATGAATTTGCACAGAATGCACTCAAACACCAGCTGCCCTGCCTAGAAGTTCTGACGCTTCCCTGAATGCCCACAGCTCACACTGGACATCTATGTGAGGGCACTGGGGCCAGGCCCAGTGCCCACACCTGCAAAAGCCAGTGAGTGAGAAGCTGGCGCAGGCTTTCAGAACAGGGACAGCAGGCTCTGGGCCCTGCTCAGCCTCTCAGAAGCTACGCAGCCTGGAAAGTGATGCCCTCTCCTAACCTCTGCTCCCTCACTGTGAGATGAAGACCGGGCGACCCTCCTGCCTGGAGCTAAAGACGAGATGACCACAAAGGCGTGGCAGGTACACAGCTCCAAGGCCAGGTCTGGTCACTGTTCCTACTTGTTTGAGTCCTCTGTCCCTCCCTACACCACATCAGTAAGTAAGTGGCCAGGGGTTTGCAGCTCTGCCCCGAGGATGAAGTCTGAATGGGGAAATCAGAGAGCGCCGGAAAACTTCCCCAGGACACATCCGCTCTCTGGAGTCTGGTGGGTTCCACATGGAGCGGCCATGGCCCTGCCCCTGTGGGTGGAATTGCACACACAGATGCATGTGCATGTGCATGTGCATGTGCACCTTAGTCCTTCTCCAGCGTCCTCCCAGACCTCCTCACACATGCTGCTTGTGAGTCCTCTGACAACT